CTCTCTTTTTTTTTTTTTTTTCCTCCTCTTCTTCCTGTATGTCAGTGAATTTTTTTACCCAGCTGTCACCGCGCCGCGTTTCCGCCCTTGTTCGCGCAACTAATTCCTTTCCCATATAAGGAGTGTGAGAGGCAGAGGGCAGCAATATAAAAGGGAGAAGAAAGAAAGAAAAGAAAGAAGAAGATGAAGACAACTGCTTTCCTTCCTCTTATGTTATATCTGAAGCCGGTGCAGCAGAGATATGTCAGCATGGCTCTCACTCTTGTTCCTTTTTAGGGATACTCACAAAATACTGGAATAATAATCCATCTGCAGGCATGTGCAGTTTGCATAAAGCATCTGGGTGTTGCATGTTTTCCTGTGTGCTGTCGCGTTTCAACATGTTTTGGGATTTCCCTGTAGTGAGGATGCATAAGACTACAGTCAGTAAACTGGAGTTTCAGTCACTACAGCACTTTTTTCGTCAAGTGCAAATCTGCAAGCAAGCTATATTAATGTGGTGTTTTTCATGCCGCACTCACACTTTGGGGATGCAACTTGTTGTTTTATTCAAATAAACTAATAATACAATTTCTCAGAGCCCAAGCTGACATCTTCAAAATGCTTCTTTTCCTCCAACCAGCAATCTAAAACCCAAGAAATCAGTTAAAAAAAGAGAAAATGAGCAAATTCTCACACTTTTAGAAGCACAAAATGATGAATGTTTAGCATTTTTCCTAATAACTAATCAATTAATCGACTCATTGTGTCATTTTCTGAGAGCAAAAGTGAAATTTCACCTAGTTGGAAAGGAGGAGGAATAAAAAAAGACCTTTAGCGGAAGGTAAGTCAACATAAAAGTATGAGCAAACGTCTGGGTCTGTTATTATCTTTAGTTGTTCCTCTCCACCAGCCCACAAGACACGTTTACTGACCTCTGCTTCTATCTGCTGTCATCATGAGGTAAAGCAGCGTGCGTCCACAATCATCAATTATTATGGCACATTGTGTTAATGGAGCAGCTAAAGGACAACGATCGAGGTTTAGAGGGCTTATAAAAGTCAATGAGAGAACCGACTATGATGATTTATGAACGTGACGAAGGCTTATGTCAGGGTCAGTGCAGCAGTGCTCAAGTTAGTGGGTTAATAGTCGGTGTTTGTTTGGCATGAACTATTGAAAATGATGCACATGAATCCAGGCACAATAATAAACAATCCTACAGCCGAGCCTTAAAACAAAAAGCCTTTGTTGAAGTCCTAATACGTATAAAATGCACGAGTCATAAACACCTTTAAAAGTGTTGAGTAAGGACAGAAAACAGGCAGAAAAAAAAGATTTTTCCTCAGAGTCTTTACTCACAACATAGCAAGAAACAAGCACACATCTCTCAGAAAACTCAAGAACAAACTGAAACAGTTTTATTTTAATTTACAGATTATCCAGTTGCATCAGGTCTGGTCAAACAGAAGGAAAGAAGAAGAAGGAGGGGAAAAAACCTTCCCTAAAACTGTATCTAAAAACATCTTAAATTAAACTCCCTTCATTTAACAGTTGCTCCCAGTTTTCTTTGTCTGCCTTCACAGTGGACTCCGTCAGAGTCGAGGTCAATTCACATCTATAAATCCCAAAAGTGACTGGCAAAGGTTGTACGTGTAACAGAAGATAGGCTGTATTTTGTGAAATAGGTGATAAGAATTTTTTTTGTGAGTTTTGGGGGTAAAAAGGGAACGCAGACAAACAAGAAATGAGTGAATCAACATCAAATCTTGGCAATTACTCCAAAATCCATTTCCTATGATGTGCAAAAAACATTGGAAGAATAGGACACTATTTTTTAAAGTGTCAAAAGATGGACATTTTTACAGAGTTGGCACTTGGGTGCACTTGATTTAAATTTGTCTCACACCAGTTGGCAAAAAAGATTGCCAGACAACTTCTTTTAAATCTCCGTCCAGGCCTGATGTGCACTGGCTGCCTTAAGACCCAAACTAGTGCAGCATGACATCAGCATGAGATGACTTAACAGTAAGAAATTAAAAACAAAAAGAAGGAATGATTGCTTATTTCACACAGAGTACAGCTGTCTCAATGGCGTACCCTTTTTAACATTCAACAACCCAAGAAAAAGGTGACTGACAGGCCAGTTTCACATGCAAAAGCAATCACACACTGGAGAGGTTTGCAGGGAAGATTCATTTGGTTAAAGTTTCCACTCACAGAAACAGCCGTCGCTACTACAGAAGATGCTTCTGTGTTCTTACAGCCTCCCTTTGTGTCCTGTATTTATGGCAAACATCCCTCAGATTAACCTTCTGCTCTTATTATACTTGTGGGAAGAAATCATTCGTTTTCGGGGGTTTAACACAGTTTCAGGGTCATTTTGGGCACAACGCTCTCTTTTCATCTCTCATGGAAGTTTAGCGATGCCCATTTGAACGTCTAATTATCGTCTTAATTATGTCACTCACACAGATTTTTGTGTAATTTTTGTAATCCCCAAGTTGAACTAACTGAATATTTGCCAAAAGAAAAGCAAGATAAACATGCTCATCCTATTTGGAGCCAAACTGATTCTAACTGGTTGAAGGAATTGCACAGAAACGCCATAAATGACGTCACAGGATTAAAAAGGTTCATGTCCCACTCTGCCATATATTAAGCTTACACCATAACTTTATTTCAAGCCTACAGGTAATGTAACAATTACTGAGGTGCTTCTGGGCTTGAGCTGCATTCACGTTTGCTAAAATATATCCTTCCCTTTGGTCTTTAAAGTCGAGGAAGTCAGGTATTTCACACATTTCGAATGCAGTCAAGTGTTAATGGCTGAACCTTCCAACTTTAACCATCATATCTCCCTTTTGACAAAATGAGAGTGAAGGTGACAGCCGACAGAAATCAAAGTGCATCCACATCTAATCACAGCCTAAAGTTGTTGGTAAAAAAAATAAAAGAAGAAGAGGAAAAATAACATACAAAAAAAAAACCTAAGTGGTCTTCATGGTTCATGGTGGTCGTTACGTTAATGAACAATGAGGTGAGTGAGGAAGCAGTGTCCAGTCCATCCCATTTGTTGTGTTGTGACCCTCCTCATTATCGTCCCCGTCGAGACCGAACTCGTTAACGTTGTGTATTCCAGTGTGTGTTCCAGCGACTTAATCCACAGGGAAACCTTCAGAATAAAAGTGTTGTTTTTTTTTTAAGATCTTCTGCCTCTGACCGCCATAACTGTGACAGCACTGTGACTCTCCTTGTGGGTTAATAACAGACATAAAAACATAAAAACGTCTGAAGAAACATCGTTTTGGCTCAGCAGCCAGAAGGAATCCACACATACACCCAACGTACAAACATGCAGGCGATCATTCCAGTATCAAATTCTACCAGAATTACAATCTGTCACTCTTCATGCACATTTTTTGTTTTATTTTTGTTTTTGGACGAGGGTCCATTGCTGTTGGTTAGCTCCGTTTTGGTTGTCGAGCAGAGTTAACCATTGGTTTCATCATGGCAGTGTTTGGTAGCATCAGATTTACCTGGAACAGTGTGAATACGTCGTCTTTGTGTGCGTACATGCGTGTCTACAAGAGGCAAGGTGTGAGCGTGTCAAGTGGCTGGTTTTGTGTCTTCGAAGCTGAGTTAAAAAAAAAAAAAGAAAAATCCACTAAGTCAAGTGTCACTCAGGCTACTTTGTCTCCCACAGTCTCAAATCAACGTGCGCCATCAGTAAGAGGGTAACAGTACATTCTTTATGTCTCTGTGTTAAATAATAGGGGTCTAACGTTATATTTTTATACTATTCAAAAACACAGTGCTCACTCCTAGATCTCAGCGAAATGTTTTTTTCCCTTCATAGTGGCTCAGTGTGGGAGCAGGGACATTTCAGTACAGTGGTGTTTTTTTCTGTGACAGTGGGACAACATGTTTCCAGCATGTTTTTCCTCACTTTCTCTTCCCAAATCCAGCTATCACACAGTCTGTATTCATGGATGAGAAGTGTGAGGTTTCTGTGTTGCAAGAACAACAAAAGAGAAACAGGAAGAGTGAAAAACAGAGGGGTGTGACAGCTGGAGGAGGTGTGTGTGTGTGTGTGAGGGCAGCGGCGAGCTTCCCCCTTCCTCCCTTGCTATAGCAGCTCCTCTCTTTGCTTTTTGCTCCTCACAGGCCCCTGGCCGTTCCTCAGGGAGCCGTTCTGGGGCCGCAGGAGATGCCCGCGCTCCTGCTCCGTCCATGGGACCCCTCCCTGCCCTTCGTCACTGTCCAGGTCAGAGTCTGAGTGCATGAGGGCAGAGGAGGTTGGAGCGGGGACCGGCTTCAGGCGGGCTGGTGGAGGAGAAGAGAAAGAAACAGTATGATGTCAAAATGAGGCTGGACTGGAGGAGCAGAATATTTTATTTAAAAAAGTGGGGTCAGTCATTCTGGAGAAAAATAGCTGATGTGTGTTTGACATCCTGGGAATAAATCTTTCTCCAGAATGACTGACCCCATCTTTAAACCTTTATTCATTTAGTCTCACTCAGATCACATAAACATATATACAGTGTGAGCATGGACAAAACATTAAGACATTCAGAACAAACAAAATGTACATATTTACATAGCAATGGTTACAGAGTTACAAGTAGTCTACGAAATAGTAAAATATTCTGTATAAAATACTAAATAAACACCAGCCTGCAGCATCCTTTAAAGTAAAGCATCGGTTTATAGCTCAGCTGGTAGAAGTTTAAATGTTTCGAGCTGCTAACATACAACAGGGTTGAAGAAACAGTGAGCTACAATGAGTGGTAGTGGTGATATTGTTTGTGTGTGTCTTACCAGCTCGAGGTGGTTGTAGCTCCAGACTGTCTTGCTCATCAGCTTCTAGTATTTTATATCTGCTTTTGCTTCTACGCACTTTGCTTTTACGCCTTTCAGGAAAAAAAAAAAACACACACACACCAGATATTATGAGTTGGTGTAGAGGTAGTTAAAGAAGAAAATACAATCCCAAGAGTTTAATGGAAAAGATGCGTATTCTGTGTGCATCTAAAGACATTTAATAATAATTATAACAATATTTGATACTTTAGAAAGTGTGCTCACCTGTTGCAGCAACACACCATCCCCCAGACAACTGTTGCTATAGCAACCACAATCATAAAGGATGCTATAGTCACATAGAGTACGCTCCACTCTGAAAACAAAAAATATTTAGTGAGATGCAAAAGCAAAGTGTGTTATTACAGTGTAATGGATTATGTGGGAAACAGGTTGCCACATTTCATCTGACACACAAACTGTCAAAATATTTAGTTAAGATTAATATCATCTCACCACAATTGCTTTCTGCATCTCCGAGCTGAGCTCTGATGAAGTTCTCCATCCAGAAAGGGTGGCAGACACAGCGCCGTGTGAACGAGTCACATTCGCCGTGACCGGAGCAGTTCAGCTGGCAGACTGAGGAGAGAGAGCGGCAGAGAGTACAACAGATGAAACTAGAGCCTTATCTTGCAGAAAGCAGACAGATCATACCCATATTCAAGAACAAAAACCTACAATAGGCGCATTGAATAACATAACATAACAGTGTAAACAAGCGACAGGGAGATATAACGTGTAGTGACAGCTCAAAAATCTGACCTTTGAGTCCTATCTGTCATTATCTAACCATTATCTTAGGTCAAGAAGTCAAAGCAGCTCTGTTCCACCACAGTACCATATAACTCTGCCTACAAAAGTACATTTTCTTTCTTTTTACTCCTTTTCCTTTGCTTTGTGTGTCTCTTACAAACTATATTTATCAGGTACTCACTGACTGTATCCACCCGTCGGGCCTTGTAGATGAGAAAGTCATTCTTCTGTTTGCGCAGTTTGTTGCGTAGTCCAAGTGCAACGCTTCGGCCAGACAGAGGGGGGCGCCCTGGACCGCCTGACACCAGGAAGACCAAACGAGTACTGAGGAGGGAGGAAGGAGAGAAACATGCTTATATATATAATCCACCAATGAAACCAAATCAAGGAAATCTCATTGCAGCCTTTTTAATGGTTATGTTTATGTATTTCAAGTTGGGGTTATAACAAAAGACTGAGCTTGAGGAGAATATGAGAAAACATTCAGGAATACAAAATAAAGGGATATAAAATTAAACAAAATCAGCTCACCTGTGCTCATTAAACGCACTGATTTCTCGCACAGTAATGTCACTGTCGAGCACTCCCAGTAAAACCCCAACCTGGCGCAGCAGCATGTCTCGCTGACGGTGGGAGACCTGGGATACAGAGACCTCCAACACCAACTCCACCAAGTCATGCTCCCATATGTCTGATAAACAGAGAGAGCAAAAGAAAAGGAGGGGGTGAGAAAGGAGATTGCAAACACAGAAGAGACATCGACAAGAGAGGTGATTGGTAGGGAGGAGAATAGCGGCAAAGAAAAAGCAACAGGGAGACTGACAGGAGAAAAACAGGCTGATTGCAGGATCCATCTAACACTCTGAAATCTGGGAAATAGGCCAGAGCACCAAGTGACGGATTAGTTTCTGGCTGCGTTTGTGTCTGTTCACCGTATGCTGCACACTGACCCGCTCAACCTTCTGCTGTGCGTTGTTGAATCTCTTGCTGTGTGGAAACAATTTGTATGCATGGACTGGTTTGAAGGCAAAAATAAACTCCAATAATACATCGTAAAAATGCTGTAATTTAACATTCGAAATACCAGCTTTTCCTGAAAATAGCCTTCACTAACCAACAAGAGAGACAGTTTTCAGTGTAAACGTGTTTCTCTTGTATACTGTAGGTTTGAGTCTGTACATGTGGGTGTTTTATGTTACCTGGTTTGACCTCCACTGTGCCCCTGTTAGAGCTGGTCTGTCCTTTACTGTCAGTTACAGTCAAGGTGAAGCTGTACTTCCCCTCCACCAGGTTCCCCAGAAACAGCACTGCCTGGTGGTCAGAGTTGTTCAGTACATCCTATTGAAACAAAAAAACAACAAAGAAGTGTTAAAATTATTATAAATGTATTATTTGTTTTAATTCTGTAGATTGAAGTTGTAATTTTATGTAGTTTTATATTCTGTCCACTGTAAACAACAACCAGTCTCACCCCAGCGGCAGGGCTGCTGTCATCTCTGGTCCACAGGTAGCTGACACCACCTTTGTCATCAGTGGAGTGAGATCCATCTAGGGTGGCGGTCCTGACGGGCAGAAGGATGGGTGGACTCGAGACAACACGAGCCAATGGCGGCTGGTCCAGTTCTGGTGGAAAAAACATTATGAAAGAGACTGAATTCAGAAACCTATTTGGAAAACACTCTTAATCATTAAATGCTGTATCTTCATTCACTGAGGTGGATCCAGGCACTGTAAAAGCCATTACTTGTTGCCCTAGTTACCTCTCTTCTAATTGCAAAGGAGGAGACTTTGAGAAAGGAAATATGTGGCAACTACATATTGTGATTTGATGATTATCTTCCAGCTTCAAAATGTGGTGGCAACTGAATTTCAGCGCAGATGAGAATCAGTTTCCGATTTCTATTGTATACTCTATTGGAGTGCAATGGCTGCACCTACCAGATTTGAAAGAAAGCCTTTATTGTCATTGTACA